CTTCTCTGCTGGCTTAAAACAATATCTGAATCACAGACTGATGTTAATTATATTTTGTCCATGAGTCCATTACTATTAATATCATTGCCATTTTTCATCTAGTCTACGTGTTGCTGTGTTGGCTGCCTCTCTCTGTTCCCTCTGTCCTTCTCTCGCCCTCTCTCTCTTGCCATCTCTCTCTCTCACCCCCAACCGGCCGAGGCAGATGGCCGCCCACCCTGAGCCATGGTTCTGCTCGAGGTTTCTGCCTGTTAAAAGGAAGTTTTTCCTTGCCTGTGTCGCCTAGTGCTTGCTCATGGTGGGAATTGTTGGGTTTCTGTGGTTAACTTCAGAGTATGGTCTGACCTGCTCTGTTTGGAAAGCGCTGTGAGACAACTGTTGTTGTGATGTGGCGCTATATAAATAAAATTTAATTGAATTGAGTACTTATTAAATATCTCTAAGTGGTCTGTCCGCTTCCTTTCATAGCTTTTCTCCTGGTTGTGCTGCTTCCAGACATGTATTTTCATATTAAAGCATTTAACCAATCACATTTCAGTCATCATTTGTTGCTAGGCAGGTTCAAAGTCAAAGATGTCTGCCAGGAGGCCTTCACAATCTGTTCTGCGGCCCCCCTAACAGAAAATACATGTTGATTAAACTGTTGCTTTAACCAATCAGATTTTAAGTTGGTGACACTAGGGCCTTCTAGAAGGCCTTTGGCAACGTCACCGTATTCACACCCGCTGATTGGATAGTCAGATAATGTACCACCCAAAAGTAAGCAAACGAACTCAAAGATAGTTTCGTTGTTGTAATAGCTATTTTATCACCCCATAATGGCTGAAGAAGGAGAAGAAATTGATTTGGTGGCAGGTTTACTGTCAGGGCAATTTTCAAGACGGACTTTTCGAGAAGTGACTAAAATGTTGCTTTTTTCCTAAATAATATTTATGTATGAGATCGATGTCCAAAAAGCTGGATCGGGACATCCCGGCTGTATTTTTTTCAACATGATAAGATGATTTCTATAACCATAAAATAGTTATTGAGGGGTGAATTGAGGGCGGCACGGTGGTGTGGTGGTTAGCACCGCCCAGCAATATGGTTCTGGGTTTGAGTCCCAGGGGACCCAGGACCTTTCTGGGAGGAGTTTGCATGTTCTCTCTATGTCTGCGTGGGTTTTCTCCGGGTTCTCCGGTGTCCTCCCACAGTCCAAAAAAAGAAACATTCCAAAGTGCCCTTAGGAGTGAATGTGAGTGTGTGTGGTTGTTTGTCCTTGTGTCCCTGCGATGGACTGGCGAACTGTCCAGGGTGGTTGTTTGTCCTTGTGTGTGCCTCCCGCCCGTTGACCACTGGGACCCCATCAGGGAAGAATGATGATAACGGATGGATGATGGATGGATTGATTCAGACTGAGCACTACTGAAGGCCTAGTTGTGAAATGCATGGTCCGCCACTGGATTTGAACATGGACCGGTAAAAGGAAAAAGAGACACAGTGGTAAAAAGTAAAATGATGGTAAAAGAAATGAAATATGATAAAGACTTAACTATGGTTATTGAGATGGAAAGAGAGGAGAAGATATCAGTGGTTCAGTTAATGAAAACAATCCCACTCTTGTGTGGAGGTGTTGTTGGGTGTAGACCATTAGGGCCCAGATAATTTGAAATCACCAGTGTTGTACAGTTACGAAGGAAAAATACTTCACTACTGTACTCAAGAAAATTTTGGAGTAGTTTTTACTTTCCTCGAGTAATTTATTTGGATAACTTTTATTTGACTATATTTCTGAACTTAATTGCATCCTTTTATTCCGTTAAATTTTCAATGTTTAGTTTAGTTACTCGTTACAAAAAAAGCTAGAGAGAAACTCAAGTGTTTTGACCCCACCGGCTGCAACAAAGTGGGGACTTGCCTTTGTTAACCCGATTCTTTAGTTGGAAACCTGAGAATAAACCAGAGTGGATCAAAAATATAAAAAATAACATTTATTGGGTCACAGGTAAAGTATTTCAGCGCTGGGCTCTTCGCAGACAAAAACCTCTCTCTTTGGGCCTCGGTCGGCAAAGAGCTCTGAGATCTGGGGGTGATGGGTCTTTGTCTCCTTGGCTGGGCACACCCCTCAAAGGAGGACTGGACACAACCAAGTCCTATTGGCCAGTTACCTCTAAGACTAACAAGCCGGGTCCTAATTCATGTTGATGACATTGGAATGTGGTACCAAATGATGTGTGTGTGTTTTTGTGTTGACTTAAAGATGTGGCTCTAATGCAACAGAGAAAGAAAAGAGAGAAAGGATAATCTGTGGTTACAGCCAGAGAATTCAACACAAAATATAGTTATAAAAGAAAATAAAACAATCAGTAATTTATATAGATCATGTGATAGCATACAATGCTAAAGTGAGCATTTTTAGCCAAAGCCTAACACCTGGGCTGGGTCATCACCACGAATAGGAAACACCTGTTTGGCTTCTCCCAGTAAACACAAAGCCAGTCTCAGTCAGCAGCAGCCTCACGGAGGAGGAGACAGCGGCTGCAGGGACGTGGGACTGAAGTGCAACAACAGCAGCATCTTCTTTACTGGTCTGATGTACGCCTCATTTCAGAACTGCCTATTTAAAAACGTTTTAAGGTAGTTTTACAGAAAAGGTCTCCCTCTTCAGATGCTTAATAAGCTGCAGTTCCCTCCCTGTTCTTTTTCTTCTGTATAATGGTCAGTCGTGAGTGCGCCTATAGTTTGGGAAATACAGTAATTCTAACGACTTTCCTTCATTTTCTGTACTGACTATTTTTAGAAAGGTTTACAAAAGAGGTTTCAAACTGGACTCCCTCTTCAGATGCCAGATAAGCTTCGGTTTTCTTCTTTTTTTTGCAAACATGGCAATAACAGCAGCAACCTTTTTTGTGTGACCAAGTGTAACATAGAGTATAAAGAGACTTAATTAGTAGTACAATGTTTATTTACAGAAATATAAAATCATTATTCGTTCTGAAATGTTAAAAATACAGTTAATCAATGGGCCGTATTCAAAACAGGACAAGCGTACACTTGACTGACCTGGAGTAGTGCAAATAATATGCAGCTTAGGAAACAAATAAAATCAAAATGGCATGGCCAAACAAAGCCCAACTAAAAACCAAACAAAACATGCAAAGGTGCCCCAAGTCAATTCAATTTGACACGGTCCAAAAATTCTATACGTGCCCAAAAAATTAATGTATAGCCTAAACCTTAACAAAAAGGGAAAAAACAGAGGGTGGCAGCTCAGTATCATCACTAAAAGACACATACATTCCACAATCAATATGACGATCATTCTATTATTCAAATTACTATCTTAAGTAAGTTACCTTTGTTAACATCCCAAAAAAGAAATATCCTAGTTGTAGAGGCCAGCAGGTGATAGGACCTTTCATCAAGTAGGACTGATGACTGTAACTATTACTTGGACATAAAAGGATATGGTCACCATTTGCCACACTGCTTTTATGACAAACATAGTGTATACATTTACCTTTTTGTCTGCGCACCAAACCCAGATTCGGCTTAACCGCTCAAGTATGATGGCTGCCGGTTTCCCTCTGCACCCATGTGGAGTGAAAGGCCCAGATTTGCCTCCCTCTGGCTTTTAAAAGCTATGCTCCGCCCCCCTACTTCCTGGTTCACCCTGTCACATTTGTTTCATTTTTCTCCAAGTGGTGTAATGTACTTGGGGGAAAAACTGAAGGCTTATAAAAACTATGTATTTTGTGTCTAAACCTGGGGGTATACTAAGAAGCTGGTTCAGTAGTAAAGCTGGTTAAGTTAACCCTGTGGTAAAGCATCTAATAGCAGAGCCAGGAGTCCTAATATTCCTAACTAAATGACACCTGCAGGTGTATCTATTAGCAGGTTTACCACTTCCTGTAGGTTTATCACTTAACCACGTTCTTAGTATACACACCCGGGTCTAACTTTGCCTGCACTTGGTTGTGTACAATTCTAAAGTGTATAGCACTGACCTTACTTGAAGAAGGAAAACCGAAGGCTTAGAAAAAGGTTGTATTTTCTGTCTAAACTTGGTCTAAATCTCTCCTTTTCATTACATTACTTGAGTACATCAATTTTCACCGTACTTTTAATACTTAAGTACAAGACATTTCAAATACTATAAGACTTAAACTCAAGTAACATTTCCATCAGTGACTTGGACTTTTCCCAAAGTCATATTTTGGAGAGGTACCTATACTTTTACTTGACTTTGAGATTTCAGTACTTTATACAACACTGATCAGAGGTAACTGCTAAGTTAAACAAATGACAGCTTTTGTAAAATCTCAACTGTCCAAAGATGAACCTGTTGATGAGCTTCACTATAAGACACAGATCTGTTCTCCTTCCAAACTTTAAAGCAGGGGGGGAAAAATCATCTGTTGTATTGATTAGTTTGAATAAGAAACAGTTTCTTTTAAAAGAAACAGCAACAGGGCGGCAGCTGCGAAAGAGATGGAGAATGGTAATGTGTATGTGGGTTCTATTTAGGGGAGAAGCACTCACAGCAGCGGCTGAAGATGAAGAATGAAACATTGTTCAAACAGGTAAGACTGGTGCATCAGCTCTTCATTCTGACTGGGTTTTACATTCCACAGTAAATCTGTAGCAGCTGTTTGACTGTGCTGGTGTTTCCTATAATGCTGCTTTCACACACATCACCATATCAAGTCCTTTTAAACCATGAAACTTTTCTAAACTAATAAACTTTTTCTCAGCCAACAGTAAGAAGACAGACCCCATAAAACAGGTGGTGGTCCTCCACTACTGACGGAGGCCTATATACAGTCATGGAGACCTGGACTCACCCTTGTGCCATCCCCCAGAAAACACCCCCACGTCCCCCCCGTCCCTCAAATGAACTTCTTGTAAAAAAAAAAAACCTGAAAAGAAACATATGACAAGTACTGGAAAACACCTCCACGCTTTCCCTGATTCCTCATCCCCCGCACATTCACAGTTAAAACAGAGAACAAACTACTGACTTAACCTCTTTCAGTCTCTCCCACGGTCCCTTCAGCCTCAACCCCGAGAGAGCCATCTGGACCATAAGACCCTAACTCCTGCAGGTAGGCCACACTGCTGGGCGATCCGGCCTCCAGGAAAGAGTGTGTTGGGCTTAAAGGTGACGCCAGCCCCAACTCCACAGGCCGAGACTCCACCCCAGAGCCATCCTCCAGAGTCACCATGTTGGAGCCCTCCACAGGACCAGCCTTTACAGCCACCGGTCCACTGGACACCCCTTCTCCCGAATCCCCGGTGAAGATGTCATAGCGGCCCGACAGCGACAAAGGGGCCCCATTGGGTTGAGTCTCTGCATGTTGTCCGGCCCACATCCACTTTCTCCTCCTGCCCTGGCCGACCAGGCTCTGGCGAGAGTTCTATCTGATCCCCTCCTGAGGACGTCATTCTCCTCCTCGCCCCTCCAGCCCCGGCTGACTCCCCTATGTCTGAACTCCTCTCCCAGTCCGCCCAGGACCCTTCCATGGGCAGAGAGTCCCCCAGGCCTACCAGCACTCCCTCACCCAGATAGCCCGGTAATTATTCCACCGTGTCCTCGGCCCCATCAGCCGGAATGGCTCCGCACCTGGATCAGCTTCAGCAGCCGTTGCTGCCTTCCCTGCTGGGAGGTCACCCTCCACCCCCTGGACCTCCTGCAGCTCCTCCACCAAAGGTCCCAGGCTTGGGCCCAGACTCTCCCCTGCCACTGCCGCATACGTGCAGCCTCGAGAAGGGCAGACCCGAAAAAGGTGGCCTGTTTTCCCACACCCATTGCAGGTTTTTTGTTGACTGCATGAGGCTGCTCCATGTCCCTCCCCTCCACAGTTCCGGCAACGGTTGCCGGAACTGACAGTGCAGCCAGCCGAAAGAGCGACACTGCCTACAAAAACTCGGTTGACCCGAGCAAAACAAAAAACCCCTTTCCCTTCCGAGTGAAAAATAGGCAGGAGGGTGTCGAAGGCCATCCCCACTCTCAGGATCCTCTCCAAGGAGGACTCAGAACTGTCGCCGACCTGACCAAATACCATAATTGTCCCTCAGGTATTTCACCGTTTTGTCCACCTTCCCATACCTTCCCAGAAAAACAGCCACTGCTGCGTCGCTCACATACGGGTTGTACATGTGCACCGTGATGACCCGCACATTCCTCTGTCCCAAAGGCTCCACCTTGAAAAGGGAAGAGGGCACAGACTCTGCCTTGGCCTTGCACGTCATTAGCAAACGGTCGTACATAACCTGGCTGTGAAGTGTAACGTCGTAGCAGTTGTCGGAAGGATTCCACTGCAGGCAGAAGACTTGTCCTGGGTCCACCTTGAGCCCGTCGATCAATACGGTCTTCACAAACCAATCTCGTCCTCCAACAGCCGTCTCCTTCCAAACGAACCTCACACAATTGCGCAGGCCAGCCTCCCTGGCTGCCTGATGGACACCTCCACTGGACATTGCTAGAAAAACAAGAACAGATGTTAGCCAAAAGGCCAAGAAGCGATAACTCTCCAGGGCTTCGCGTTGCCTCTCACTTCCTGATACAATCTGAACTCGTCGCGGTATCCTTTTTAAGGTGGCCACTTCACACCTCCGCCCATTAAACACTCTTGAGCAACGACGCACTTTGCGCTCCGACAGGCTGCAGTCGGCGCCCTTGGAGGCACAATTGCGCACTCCAAGCTGCCGCCTCAAGGCAGTCACAGGAGTAGAGTTGAGGGTCTTCCAGGAGAGCCCCTCTCAGCCCAGGTAAGGCCACTTTGACTTTCGACAAACAGGAAAGGCTTTAGCAACGCAAGCAAAGCCCACCAAAAATAACATGCGACTCTTTAGCGTTGCTCTCCACGGAAGTCTTTAGTAAAAGGCGAAAGACTTGTACGTGATGAAGAGAAACCAGAGCCAGTGTGTCTGCCAGTGCG